ATTATTATTATTTTATTATAATATATTATTTTTATTAATTTTTAAATTTTATTAATTATTTTTTATTATTTTTAGTTTTATTATTTTATTCATTTTTTATTTTAAAGAATTTTTCAGAAATAATTAATTTTTTTATAGTTTTTAATCATAACAACAACATGGATTTATTTATCCTATTTCATATATGAAAGCTACATCATGTAATTTTTTTCTTTCTATTTATATTGTATTGTATTTTAATTTGAAAAATATTCTTTGGCTCACAAAAATAGCATCATTTGAGTCAAACTTTCCATGACAACGACATGGGTTCATCTAGTTATATGTGATTATTGCTCCTATTGGAACTTGACTCTAAAAGAAGAAAAGAATAATATTACAAATATAATTATTCACTTAGATTAAAAGACTTAAATAGAAAGAAGTAGAAATAAATAGATTTGATAATATATTATAGAGAAGCTTTTTAAAAGATTCATAGATACCATTTAATTTTATATGTATTTATAGGTAATTGATAGATTGAAAATTTAGTTGGAGTGCATGACTGTCAAGGATAAGAACTCAATAAAAGCAAATAAATAAGTGACATTCTTTCAAAGAAATAAAAATAGAGAAGTATGTATATTAAAAGGAAAACTAAAATGGCTATTGCCAAAAGACAAAAAAACTAGAGACTCTTGAAAGTAAACTAGAAACAAGAATAGAATTGGGAAAAGTGAAGAAGGCTTCACTTTTGCCACTATGTATACTATCTACCTAGGATCTATGTAATGACATTCTGTTGGACTGTTAGAAATGTGTTGACTTTACATGACATGTATCTTAACTTATAAGGGAAGTTTTTTATATAGGCACCATATAGGTAGCTTATTTTGCAAGCTACTAACACATGTAGCACTTGGTTAGCTTGTTAATCAAGTTTCTAACCTACCAATCAACTACAAATATATGTAAAGTCAAAACAACATCTAAGAAGCTTTTTGGAAGATCCTCTAGAAGATATTATGAAATTCTTTTATTTTTATCTACTTCTATCTATTCATATTACTTAGGTAACAATAACAATAGATATATATCCATAACAATGAATAGATAAAAGTGACCACCTTCTAAAAAAGTGTCTCAAAAGCTTGGATTCAATAATAATTTTATTTTTTGGGACACTAGTAAGTATGATACAAGAGAGGTTCAATGAAGAATTACAAATCCAAAAGAAGATTATAAATGCTCATCATTATGCTCTACATTTAGAATCAAATAAAGTCTCTCAAAAATTCACAATTAATCTTAGTGAATAAAACCAATAAAAATACCAACATTAAACTTAATAAAAAGTCCAATAATAGCCTTAAAAAAATCACATAAACTATTGATTGCAACACAGAGACAACAAAATACTAATCCTAAACTTAATATAATGGCTACTATAATCCAAAGAAGGATGATACAAAATAGTTTGCTTAAAGAAGATATTACAATATGTAGACGTAAGAGTGGTTATAAAGTAGAAGATAATAGAGGGGACTTGACAGTGTGGAAATTAGGACTTGGATTTGGATTTTAATATCAACAACTAGAAGAAAGAAAAAAATAAAAATAAAAATAAAAATAAATTCCTTCTTACCATCTTACTGATAGCAATATAAGATGACAAAGAAATACATTAATTTTATATAAATAGTGCAATTAATAATAAATTAAAATAATAAACTAACTTAGAATCCTCTTGAAGTTACAGAGAGAATTCTAAATTTTTTTATATGTTTATTCACATTAAAAAGTTGTATAATATATTATATGTCGTATACTTATTTTTTGTTTAATTTTTTAGTTTTTACTTTCCCTTTTTATACACATAATTAACTATTTATGAACATTCATAAATAATCAACATTTAATATGATATTTTATCATTTTAATAACTTTACTTTCCAAAAAAACAGTTATATATTAAAAAAATTAAATCCAAATTATAAAACTGTTTGTTGTATTTGTCTTCATTGTATATATTTAATAAAATATTTATAAAACAGAACTTTTTTCCTCAGAATTTCAAGAAATTAATAGTTGAACATGTTCATAACTTTCACTGTTTGTAAAAATGCAACATAGACTTGATTACACACTGTAGGCAGCCACAAAACAAAAGCTTGTAATAAGAAACACGAGGTAGATAAAAACAAAATAATCAATAAATAAGGCAATAAAACCGCTTGAATTCACAAGCTTGGATAAGGAAACCTCTGGTGCTTGGAGCGAGATGGGGAAGAGAGCCGCTGATGCAACAATGCAATCCAGCTATTCTGTTTGCCGATCTGGGTTAATAGCATTTACTGCTTACATTGCCCTTTACAGAGATTCGTCAGCATTTTGGTTTCATCATTCTCGTAATTGCCTCTTGCGAACTTTCTTCCATCCGTTTCATAGATCCACTTTCTGAGGAGCTACAGTGTTTCGCTTCTACAGGCTACAGCTCGAGCTTACGAAGGGGAAGATGGTGACGAAGCACATGGCAAAATAAATGATCGTTCTTGGATATATTTTATCGACTCGGAGCTTTGTTTCTCTCCGTGCTTGGTCATCAAAATTTAATTGCTGTTTCTGTGAAGTGTTCATATTTTCGTCATCAACACTCATCAAGTATCAATCATACTTGAGAATAGTTAATGTATAATACTATCAGAAATTTTAATAATTGAAAGAAGTGGATTGATTTATGATGTGTACATATTTACGATAATTTCGACTAAGTCGGGTCTGGAATAAAAATAATCATTACACTAAAAAGTCTCACATATATTTTGTTAAAGCCTTTTAACTAGGTTTAAGCGAGAAGATTCATGGTCTGAGAAGTTGCATGTGTATATTAGTGAAATTCTACACTTCCCCTATCCCCTACAAGTAATCGGCCATCAAAGTTACCAGTGCTTGTAGATGTAATTTCTAATCCTCCAGCGTATCGTCAAGCGTATCGTCATATTTCGAAGTTATCGCTTAAAAAGCACTTTCTCAGGACCGTTCTTGCAGTGATCAATCTCCAAAAAATACGGACAGAAGTATGAGATGACGGACCGCTTGCTGAACAAAGCGAATCAGCTTTCAGTGATTTTCAAGTAAGTCAAATGTGTCCTAGGATCAAGATGCGTTGTCCTTTCTCTGATCTGGGCGGGGTTAAACATGGAAAATTTCGGTTTAGTGCACTCCACCAGTTCGCATTACAGGCGTAAACAACCTGGGATATCCACAGACTCCCTGAAAGAGCACTCATCGGCCAGAAAGCTACAGCCTGGTTACGTCCCCGACAAGTTATTCCAGAGGAACCAACCAATCGAGGCGATGAAACTCATTTCCAGCCGTAAATCCAATGCATGGTAACTTCATGCGATGTAGCCAACCAGCACGAGGTTCATCCGCCACACCCAATTAAGCCACAACGCACAGAAGCTGCGCTGGCACAACTTCATATCACCGCTTCCTAACAGCAGTTGGAAAACATCCGGGAATAATCTTGCACAAAACAAGTTCGCTCGCTAACGGCATCCTAACGTGAAGAAAATGCCATGATTGCACATTTGCTATAGGATTTACATTCCCGTCATATGGGTGCAGCGCATGTGACCTGACTAAGGAGTTAGGTGGATAGTGCTCCAGACAGTGAACATAGACGAGAGGGCAATTCATCAATTCTACGTAGTTTCCCGATCCCTCAAAGCCCACCATTGTCAACTCCCACCAGCTATCGAATCACAGGAAACTGGGAAGAGATCCCTTCATTTGGATAGAAGCTGCGGGAAAACAACCCAGCTTAGCATCAGTAATACCGAAACAGAAATTTCCTTAAACAGTCAATGGTGATATTTAGTATACAGCATATTACTCGTGCATGGTTCTAAAAGAAGACATTAAAAAGGTTAGTGACCAGAAAAATTGTTGTCAAATGGGGGGGAACCAGACGAAACAGTGGTCTTCAATCTGCTTCCAGCTCAACAGAACTCAGTAAGACTGTTACAAATAAGATCAAGTTCTCAAGAAAAATATAAACTCTGTTCATTGTCGACATTCTACGGATCCCATTCCATTAGTCCTACCACTAGTTTTCACATTGCCTTTACCAAGCTCCAGTCTACTAAAAAGAAAGTCAAATGCAACTTTGCGTCGTTGCCACACTGAAGTGCTAGAAACTGCCTTACGTCGGCGATAAGGTTTTACGTCATCTTCAATGCTGTAGTACAAACCAATGGGTCGAAAGTTACAAAAATATAGAGAGATGACAATCTTTGTGAAGAGTGTTCAATTTCAGAATTTAGTTGGAAGTTTTTCAGAAGTATTCTAGAATGGACATACTATGTGAGTGTTATGGATACTTTTCGTGTTACTCATCGCGAGATGGAACACTCAACCAGTAATATTTCCGAAAATATAGCATTGGAAGTAGTACTAAGGAATTGAAAATTACCTCAAGCCACAAGAGTTGTGAAACTAAACAGTCGACGATATATGATAAAACACTCATATCCGGAGATGAATTGGTTTCATCGCTAATTTTTATTATTCTTTCCCAAAATGAGGTGGAAACCGAAACAGAGAAGGTTTCAGTGCACATATCCATATAATAAAAGTAGGAAAGGAAACAGAGGGCTAAATACCAACACTACCGAATTAACAGCGTTGACCCACATGCTTTTGTCATTCAGTTGCTCACCGCCGAGTTGCTTCCCGGGCTAGAGAGACATATTTTATCAATTTGTAGGGAACAGCACTCTGCATGCGAAACGAGTCTCAGACATGCCGCCGAGTACCCATCTTAAACTTGAAAACATTTCATCCTCTTGTGATGCAATGATGATTTCTGTTGTCGTGCAGACTACGTGAGACCTACGGCTTCAGAATGCAGTGCAACATTTTCATCGACTTTCGTTACTTCAGGTGTTCGAATTTTATATTGTTGGCTGCTTGTGCGTTGACTTTGATCGAGAAAGAGAGTATAAGTTTTGCTTCTTGTGCTGAGCATAGTCGCCAACAGCCTTGTGTCCTTCAGCAGAATGGGGTCTCTGCATGAGACTGGAGCCTCGTTCAACATAGGGATGCATGTCTAGTTGAACTGGTGGTCGGCGATCTTGCGTCGTGTAGAGTGTGGATGTATTGGGTTTTCCTGGTGGAGATCAACTTTGTCAAGTACGAGGTTAGTCCTCTCAAGGGTTAGGCAAGGGATCACACAGTACTGCTGGATACTCTAGTTACTCTGTTCAGGTTTTTGCATGTTGGATCAGGTTTATTATCTTTCGCTGTTGAAGTTGAAGGAATTTCTCGACCTTCTATGTTGTTTCCAATACGGATCAGCAGCTGTAAACCTATTCGGAAGTATGAATTAGCTCGTATGGATGTAGTTCTGAACAAATCGGCGTTTCATATTTGACTTTTAACTGAAGAAATCTGCCATTGCTAGAGTACCTGAATATGTAATATTGAGTAGAGTGTCTGCAGATCAGATCAGTAGGTTTACGATTTACCTTTCTGTTTGTCGTCGCAGAATTGGCATCCGAGCTCTTTTGCTGCGGGCAAAGCTGCTGATTCGACAGTCTGGGTTTTTGCTGCCACGTAGGAGAACCGTTCAGCAATTGTAGCAGCAATAGGTCGCCCATCGAATCGCTGCCTCTGACGTAGCTGTTTCGGCAGGCTTGATCCCTGCAGCTCAGATCGACCAGGAAAGATGCAGTGCAAGAGAAAACAGTGTTACACTGATCTCTAAATTTTGCTGCTTCGATACCGATCCATTCGTTCCGACAAGATGGCCTCAATGAAAATGAGTTCGTTCAAGGTCCTGTGTTTCATTGCTATCATCGTGGCTGTTTTCACCCAGAAGGCTGTGGCTACGTCGAAGACTCACCACTTGAATTGGACTGTGAGAGCTCTAACCTTACATCTATTCATGATTCTCTGTAGGAACAAAACTTTGATCCTTGCGAGAGGTTTGTTTTTATTGAAGTTATCAAGTTAGCAAATATGAATGTAGATGTCGCTTTTGAAAAATGCACTGGCAGATAGTGATCGCAGAAAAGGGAATGTAGATCATGCTTGTGTTCTCTGTTGAACTAGGTCCACGTGCTAAAGAGAACAGGAACAATGACCAATCACTGGATGGCTTATAATTGCCATGAGCAGCGTAATATACGTACAATATGCAAATACAGTTTCCCGTACATGTGTCTATCCTCTGTCAACGAAAAAATAGCCCCTGAGTCAGAATTTCGATAACTTGCAAGAGGGAACCTACCTTTTCAGCAAGCCTACCCAACTGTGCGGGTGTTTTCTTATAAATTCATGCATATTACCAATGATCTGCTGCAGGTAGAGAACAAGAGAGTTACCCGGAATTGTGCCACTGTCGACATTCCTACAGTAAACGGCAGGTTTCCTGGCCCAACCATTGAGGTTAATGAAGGTGACACGCTAGTGATTAAAGTGACCAACAAACAACAATATCCAGTCACCCTTCATTGGCATGGAATCAAGCAATTTAGGACAAACTATGCGGACGGCCCAGCACACATAACGCAGTGTCCCATACAACCTAACAAGTCTTACATATACGAATTTACGTTGAATGATCAACGGGGAACCTTCTTCTGGCATGCTCACATCAACTGGATGAGATCCACTGTTCATGGTGCCTTGATCGTCCACCCCAAGAAGAAAGCACCCTACGGTGCGGTCGCGGGCGAGATTCCGATCATTATGGGTAAGTTCACGATTTCTCCTTCTGCTGTAGGCTTCCGTGTTAGAAATTCAGTAACACGTTTCTGGAGTGAAGAATTGAGATATCTGCCCTTCTAAAAAAAACACACCTCCATTCTCGCACTACTTTACCCTGCAACCTCTTAATTGCGGATGACCTGATCACTTTGCAGGAGAATTTTTTGGGTTACATCCAAATGTCGTAGAGCTTGGATTCATCAACACCCTGGCGCCGGTAGAGAACAGAACTACTTTGGCCAGCACCATCAACGGGTTTCCGGGACCCTTTTTCAACTGCTCCTCGGGTAAACATTTTCTGCTATATATTTTAGTCCATCCATGTATGAATGATAAATGATTTGTTACTTATATGTAACTGGGACTGAAGTTGAATTATGTGCTGTGCAGCTACCAAGGTGTACAAAGTGAAAAAGGGTAAGACGTACCTGCTCCGTATCATAGACGCGGCGCTCAACAGTGACCATTACTTTGCTGTTGCCAACCACAGCGTTACAGTAGTTGCCGCGGACGGAAACTATCTGAAGCCTTTCAAAACCTCCTACGTGCCTATGTCCCCCGGCCAGACTACCGACGTCCTCATCAAATTCGACAAGCCTTGCGGTCAGTATCAGGCATTTGGTGCCTCATTTCACACATCTATGATTAAAATCTGGGTGCTCTTTCGAATCCAACAATTATATCTCACTTTAAGATTGATTGGACTCGTTTTGCAGGAAGATATTACTTTGGCATGAACGCGGGGCCTGTCCCTGCAGTGGGAGCTCCTCCGCCGTTTGTTCCAGCAGTATCAATCTTCCAGTATGAGGGTGCAGACTCCACTACCTCTCCAGTGGTACCCGTTTTCCCTGACAGATTCAACCTTGCCCCGCTCAATGCATACCATGCGAAACTGAAGAACCTGAACCGTTACCACCTCCCGAGAAAAGTCGACAAGAGCTTCCTCTACGTAGTCGGCATCTCCAGTGTCAACTGCATCCCCAGCGAGAACTGCACGCGTAAAATTGCGGGTACAATGCAGAATATGACTTTCGACGACCCAGTTGGAACTTCAATTCTAGAGGCGTACGCCAGCGGTGCTAAGGGGGTCTACACCACTGATTTCCCGGCCCAACCACCCAGCCTTAACGTGAACACCACCAGACCCGATCCTCATTACCTCGCCGGCAATCGGGGCACCAGACTCCGAGAACTAAAGTTTGGTTCCGTCGTGCAAGTGGTGCTGCAAAACTTCTTCGCCTTCGGGGTGCTCGACCACCCATTCCACTTGCATGGCCACGACTTCTACGTTGTCGGGCAGAATTACGGTGTTTACGATCCGGTGCAGTCCCCCAAGACCTTCAACTTGAAGGATCCACCGCTATTCAACACCATCGGCGTTCCCAACGGCGGATGGGTGGCCTTGAGGTTCAAGGCCAACAACCCCGGCGTGTGGTTGCTGCACTGCCACTTCGAGAGGCACAAATCGTGGGGCATGCACCAGGTGTTTATCACCAGAAATGGTGTCGGTAAAAGCCAGACCTTGCCAGGCCCCAAGCATCCCCTGCCCAAGTGCACTTAGAGTCTCCATCCCCAGCCCTGAAGGTGGCCACTGCATGGAGACAACATGTGAGAAAGCATCTCACACTGCCCCTAGCTTATCAGATCGTCATATTTCTCACAGATTCTTCATTGACTTATGAACATTTTTTTTGGAAATAAACGATTCGAAGGCTACCCGCCTCATCGCCGCAACTTTGCAATCAAAAACTAGTCTATTTTTTTGAGGTCTATATCTTGCAGCATCAAGTGGGTAGAACTTGTGTTCTGTTGCTTCATAATGTCTCGTTCAAACACGTCTGATACCCTTTCTTGAATTGCTTCAGTGAATAATTGAGTTCCATCACTTCTAACTTCATATTTGATTGCTGAATTAATTGTTTAAACAGTTGCAGCATTAAACATTTTAGTGCATATTGAAAGATGTGAATGTAATGTAGATTTCTTGAACTCCTTCCAGGGTTGCTTTTATGGTTTTCATCCTTGGACAGTTGTGCGGGAGAAGATTTAAAACATGCGCAAGAATCACCGTCAAAGATTATGACATCTGCTGTCAAGTAGAAAATATTGCGTGAAACTAGTTTCGAAATCCAAACAGAAGGATATATTGTTTAATTGTGGTGGATGAAATCGAACACTTATTTACTACACCTCTACTAATTCTTGGTCGTGTAGTAAATTCTACCACAATCAGAAAAGTTAGTATTACGCATGAATGACAAATAAAATGAGTATACAAACCGTTTACGATTTTCACCACTTGATTAACATTTAACCAGAACAGAATAAGAAAACTGAAGCAAAACATTGATCTTGTAAAAGAAAAACACCAAAATATTACAGCAGCCCATCTTATCTCTTGCTGAGTATGATGCGATTCTCCAACTCATGATTGGTGGAACAATATGTTCACACATATGGCCAGTGGTCGTCTTTGTTTTGAAGAGCTTGAACTTCTGACGACAGAATTCCTAGTTGACAGTACCTGGTGAAGGAAACACACAAATCGTGCAATCTTTCAGTCAAGTCGGCAGGCAACTCAATGACCACAATCGTTTACACTTAGCTTCTTCATTGAGCTCATCCAGCATACTAGCTGCAAGAAGTAAAAGGAATGAACATTTCCAGGAGCGCGGGCCTGCAACAGCATGTGAGCATAACTAGGGCGATTTGGTAAGACGAATCTAACAGTAATGTTGCATTATGCTTTTGGTTCATAACAAGGAGGGAGAAGTAGCCTAGAATCATTCAACTGAGGACTTAAAACTCGCTAAGAAAGGTGTTCATAGAAATAATAACCACTGTACGTAATTTGTACTGTCCACATGGCACATGCACAGCATTGTAGTCTTGCTCAAATGTAATTTCTTTGAACCTAGAGTATCCCCTCAGCAAGTTAAATGAACTTGATCTCAATGTAATATGTGAGTAATCCTAACTTCAACATTTCGAATTCTTCCTCAAGTTTTTGTTCGAGCTGAATCACCTTAGCTTCGTGACTGCCAGTGATGAATTAGTCATCAATATATAAAACTATAATTACACAGAGATGTCCATCATAGAACATGTAAGGATTCTGGTCACAATTGTTTCTCTAAAAGCCCTCATTTCTAAAAAAGCCATCTATTTTGATGTACCTTGCCCTTGATGCTTGTTTGAAACTATATATGGTCTTTATAAGTTTGCAAATTAAGTTTTTTACATTGCCCTGATGAAAATGTCTAAGGCCTTCAAGTAACTCCATAAACACCTCTTGATCTAAGTCTCCATTCAAAAAGACAATTTTGATATCAAGATGCTTGATGAACCATTAGTTTTTGGTAGCAATAAAAATCACTAGCCTAATAGTTACCTATTTGACTATAAGCACAAAAGTTCCTTGATAATCAATGCCATGGTCTTGTTCAAAGCTTCTAGCCACTAAACAAGCTTTAAACTTTTCAACTTTTCTATCAACAATCATCTTGACCTTGTAAATTAGAACAATTTTCTTTTTTTGGTTTGCAAAAAAGGATACAAGTTGTTAGTTTATTATGTCAATCCAACCTTTATGTCTTGCTACTTCTTTGTAGCTTGGTTCTTTGATATTTGCGAGGAGTAAATAGTCCTATTGTCTTAGTAGAGGCTTTTTGACTCTTTGTGAAGTGCATTTTTAAAATTTTGGTGTAGATTTCTCTATATTATGAACTAATGCTAGAAGTTCTATTATAATTTGAGCTTGTTGTAGCCACTTTGAAGCCCTTGTTTGTATTTATTCTTATGCAACATCCAACGTTAGATTTTGAAGCAAGTCCATGGTTGTTGATGCATTATTTCCATTTGAAGTAGATGCAGGAGTAGCTAATTTATTTTATTTGATTAGACTCAATAAGTGGGTCACTTCTTCTTCTTGCTTTGGTTGCATTATTTTTCTAATGCCACATATCTTTTCATCAGTTACTACATCCTTTAAAACCATCATCTTTCTATTAAATGGATTATATAATCTATATACTTTTATATTACTATCATATCCTACAAGCATGCATCTTTGAGACCTAAACTATAATTTGTTATTGTAGACTTTTGAAATGTAAACATATACTAAGAAGCTAAAAATTCCAAAATGCTCAATTGAAGGTTTTTCTCTTGTATAGATTTCTTCAAAAGTTTTGCTAGCATTGGCACTACTCAGGCATCTATTTATAAAATATGATGTTGATACAACCTCAGTTCAAAGCTACATTAGGGCTTTGCAAGCTAATAACATACTCCTTGGACACTCTATAAGGGTTATGTTTTTATATTTAACTATGCCATTTTGATAAAGTATATACATTTAGGTCAATTATCTCTCAATGCCTTTTTAATCACAATATACAATGAATTCATTTGAAATGTGATTTCTACTCCTATCAATCCTTAGTATTTGAATTTTTATTTTTATTTATATATCTACCATATTCTTGAATATTTTGAATATTTCTAAAATAATTCACTTAATTTTAAAGAAGTATGTCCATGTTTTGTAACTATAATTATTAATAAAAGTAATAAAAAATTTAGATCTCAATAATGAATCAGTTGGCATTGGACCACCAATGCTTAAATATATGTCACGGACATACATATTTATTCTTATATTTAGCTTTATGATTAAGTAGAAATAAATAAAAATAAATTTATTTTATAATAATTTTTAGAAAAGCTTCCTAAAAACTTCATAGATATTGTTTTGACTTTATATTTGTTTGTAGTTTATTGATAGGTTAGAAACTTAGTCAACAAGTTAATCACGTATTGGTAGCTTATGAAATAAGCTAATTATGTGGCGCACATATAGAAAACTTATCTTACAAGTTAAGATACATGTCTTGTAAGTTAAGATATGTGTCTTGTAATGTCAACATGTTTTGGAGGTCCTATAGGACATTGCGACATAGCTCTTAGAGTATATATAAAAACAAGAATGAAGCCTTTTTCACTCTTGTTAATACCTTCTTAGTCTTTAATTTTGTTTCAAGACTTTCAAGTCTTCTTGTCTTTGGCAATAGTTGTTCTAGTTTAATACCATATCATCTTTGAATAATTTTTTATTTCTTTTGAATAACACAAGAGTATATTGAAGATTTTTTTTTTTTTTTGAGATTCATGTCTTTAATAATTTGACAAGAGTCGTAATTCATTATTTTTATCTTATTTTAGAAGTGAATAGATTATTTCACTTCTATTAATGTATTTTTAAGCGTATAAATTATTCATTTATAAATAAATTATTTAATTTTCTAACACTAATATTTTTCTTAAATAAAGCAGATTATTCTTCTATGTAGAAATTCTCATTTGATATTAAAGCTTGGAGATTATTTTCTTTTAATTTAATTTATAGATTTATTAAGTTATTTAAAATAGAAGAAAAAATTATGGATGCTACATTTGATGGAAATAAAAATAGATTTGCAACTATTGCTAATCTTCACAAACTTATCAACACTCTTAAGATAGAAATTTTACATATAATAAGTAGCAACTACAAAAATTTTAATCCTATACTTATAATAGAAGTTCAAAGTCTACATCAAGAAGTTGTGCAATTGAAGGAAGCAAGTAAATCAACCTCATAACCAAATCCAAGAAGTTTTGCTTCTACAAATACAAAAAGAAGAAGGATTAGTATACTTGAGAAGTTTAATGGAAAAAGAGAAAAATTTTGAAGATTTTTGCAACAAGTTAAGTTCTATCTAAGGTTGAATCTCTTCTAATATGCTAATAGATTTATGCAAGTTGAGTTCATAGGCACACTTCTATTTGGAAGTATTTTTTTAGTTTGGATCTTTAATAAAAAAATATTTAAGATTCTTTTATGATTTGAATTTATTCTTAAAAGTATTTATGACCACATTTGGAGAAAGTAATCAAGAAAGAATAGCAAAGACCAAGCTCTTATCTTTATAATAAGGATCACAATTAGTTACCATAAATGTTGTTAAATTCTAAAAACTTGCTTGCAAAATGGACTTGAATGATAAAGCCTTTATCAATCAATTTTGATATAGATTGAAAGATAATGTCAAAGATTTTTTTATTGATAATGTCAAAAGAAAAAAATTTAAAATAATTTATTGGTCAATCCATTGCATGCAATAATAATTTATTTGGAAGATATCAACAATAAAGAACTAGTTGGAGAAGAACAAGTTAAGTAATTACGACAGCTTCTAAGTTTTTAGAAACTTATCTGTCAAAGCCAAAACTAATACAAATTGATACGATACGTTTTAAATCCTTCATAGACTAAGAGAAGATTCAATATTATCATATAACATGATTTTCTATTTGGAAATACATTGAATAGTTAGCTATCGAGAATTTAACTTCAACTTATTGGACAAGTTTCAATATATGATTTATTCTTATTAGAGGCTAAAGAAGTATTAATACTAGTATTAAATAGTATTAATAATTCATGTTAAATTTGGATTTTTTTGGTTGATTCAACTTTGAGATATGAGTTATTGAAGTTTGGAAAAAATTCACCTAAAAGATATAGAAGGTTTTATAATATTTTTATTACATTTTTGGTAGTATTTGGTACTTAGGACTTATATATTGATATAATTTTTCCTATAGGGATAATTTTTTATATAAACTTGATTTTTTTTTTTTTTTTTTTTTTTTTTTTTTTTCTTGAGACTTAATTGAGTAATTAATAAAAACCAAAATCCTAACAC